TGATAACTCAAAATATTATCTCAGCAGATTTTTATAAAATTTATTTTAAACATTATTTACAAAAAAATACAAATAATTTTACTAATTTTATTTATTTATTGCACAAAGATACTGCAATCAATTAAATACATTTCTTGTAGACGCAATGGCTGTTAATTTTCACTTCAAGAAAAGTTTTTCGAGTACGAAGCTATAATAAATCAAAGAAGTCAAAATAACTATTGGTTATATGAACAATTTAAAACTTTATTTAACAAAATAGTTGTCGCAGTTTGCCATTTTTCTAAAATTTCAGCAGAAAGACTTCACACTTTTGGTAAGACTTCAACTTAAATACACTTCACCTAAATTAATAATCTTAAATAAATTTATTAATAAGTATACAAACAATAGTTTTAAATACAAATAACGTATGTAAATAAGAATTTTGCACATAAGGATTCTTTACTGGATTAAACAGTTTTAAAAATTATTACTTAGTAGTAGTTATAGTTACTTCAAAGTTTAACATAATTCACCCAATAATTCTATATGAAAATCTATTTTACGAATTTTTAATGTTATATTTCACATACTTAAAGAAGCTAGTTTAGAAGAAAAGGAAAAACTATTAGATTTTACTTAGGTTTTCAAAAGCGAAATAAAAAATTAATCAGTAAAAAAAATCGCAAATGAAGTGCTAAGTTGAAAGTTAAACAAAAATTCAGGATAATATTTACAATTATTAAGCCTATGAATCAGAATTTTAATTATGCGTTCACAACTCTAAAATATTACTTACAATTTTAATTTTAAAAAATTTAAAAGTTTATTAAAACAATATATTAAAATAAAAACCTTTAAACACGTGTCTTAGCATTTTATAGAATTTTGTCTCATACAGAACATTGGACATATCTTTAAACTTACCTACCAAACATGGCAGGAATATTAATCTGAGACAGACAAGCCATAAAATGCTTAATATAATTTTTAGATTCAAATACTTAAAGACACATAAATATACACTTAAGCATTTACAGAAAAAAAAATTGAAATTTTCTAGAGCATTAAAACTAAGATAACACAATAAATTCCATCAACTTTAGTTTGCTTAGCTTTTGAAATTGTAACTACTGAAAATTATAAAGATATTTAAGGAAATACAGGTATAGGACAAAATAATAGAAACACCTGTGAAAAAAATGAAAATATTTTATTAATTAGGAGTTGGGCCACCTTTGGCCTGAATGACAGCTTGCGTTCGACGTGGGATTGACGTCTTGATTTAAGGTCTGATTTGAATTAAAGGTCTTGAACAAAGTTCATCGGAATTTGCAGCCATTCCTCTATCAGGGCTCTCTCGAGTTCAGACAGTGTGCGTGGAGGAGGAAACCAAGCACGGACTTTTTACTCTAAAAAACCCCACAAAGGCTCAATGATATTGCGATCAGGTGACTGAGGACACCACGTTAGATGTTCAACTTCATCATTATGCTCATTTAACCATGTTTGAACACAGTGAGACGTGTGAACAGGGGCGTTGTCATCTTGAAACACAGGATGTTCTCTCGAAAGAAGCATGATGCAGAGGGTGAAGATGATCTGCGAGAATGCTTCGGTAACGGTCACCTTTGACCACACCCTCAAGACAACGAGAGGCCCCGATCCACGGGCAGATATAGCACCCCACACTATCACAGACCCACCTCCATGTTTCACGGTTGGAAACAGGCAGTCAACATAAAATGCTTCTGCCGGCGTAAGCCACACGAACACACGTCCGGTGGTCTAGAATAGTGTAAAAGAGGATTCATCAGACCAGATGACTTGCTCCCATTGCAGTTGTGCCCATTTTAGGTGGTCTTGGCACCACTGTAGTCTCTTCAAAGCATTCCGCGCTGAAACTAACGGTTTTGGAATAGCTACTCTGCCATGAATGTTAGCAGCATGCAACTCCCATTGAATAGTTTTCATGGATATGGAGTTATGAAGGTGGGTACTCATCTCGGACGTTATCACCGGCAGTGTAGTCTTGCGTTTTCGAGCGATTATCTTCTTCAACACCTGTCTATCACTGTCCTACAACTTCGACTTCCTGCCGCTGTTGTGCTTCGCAGAAGACACCTTACCCAACTTTGTGTATGCTGATAGAGTCATTGATACAGTGGTCCTTGAAACACCCACAGTCCCGCAGTGGACTGATCGTTAAGACACGGTTCCCAGCAGGTCACCGAAGTCAAGCATCACTGGCTGCGGTCAGTGTGCGGGTGGGTTGACCACTTGGATCAGTCTGCGTAGGGACCGAGGGTGTGCGGTATTGGTCCTCGTTAAACTGTGCTACCGTAAAGTGCTCGACTTCCGGCGCAGGTCGTCGGGCTACCGAAGCGGGGGTGCCAT